CGGAAAGAATCACAAACAAGAAGTTATGGGAACAAACGAAACAGGAGCCAATCGCCTAACAAATATGCAGGAGAAACTGGAGATGGATTGGACACTCGCTGAGAAGGCCGTTGGGTGACATCAGGCGTCAGGCCCTCAAGTGGAACCCGAAAGGGAAGCGGCGAGTGGGACGTCCAAGGGTGACATGGAGGAGATCGTGTGATGAGGAACTGAAACAGTATGGATTAACATGGATGCAAGTGAAAAGTACAGCACAATACAGAAGCAAGTGGAGGCGTGCAGTTGAAGCCCTATGTTTCACTAGGAACCCAAGGAAACAATAATAATAATAATTGATTGAGAATGGAAAAGTAGGACTTCAAAGTTGCACAGTGATTCAAGTCAAATATCACAAGATTGTCTTATGTATTTTCAGTTTTATCATGACTGAATATATTTTCAAGAGTTTGGTTTATAAGGATTAAATTTATTTAAACGAGTTTGACCACGGATTGATGTCAGTTAAATAACCACTGAAAACCAAGGAGTGCTTTCTGACAGTTGTTTCATCCTAGCTTGGGAATCATTGGCCCTACGCACCCACAGCCAGGGTTCAAACTCAGGACCGTCTGGTTACAAGACAAGCTCGTATAACATTCAGCCACTGGGACCTGATTCAAAGGCTCATGAATCCTAACTTCTAACAATTCGTGAATTAGCGCGACCACCAACCAGTGGGAGCATACTGATGATGATTCTCAAAATAGGATAAAGCAGCTGTCTGGCAGTACTCCCTGGTTTTCAGTGATTCTCTAACTGATACAAATCCGTGGTCAAAACTGAATATATTTTGTCAGGTGTTCAAATATAAATGGGCTCAAAAGATTAGTTTTATTATATTGATCGTCATTCGATCAGTTAAGGATTACTGAATACTGATCAGTCATTGGTTACGATGATTTGTTCAGTATAGACAAATCTTGGCTCATAGCACCATGATGTAGCTTCGAGTGGCTGAACCCAGATCAGTTATAATAATAATAAATTATAATAAATTCAAAAACTAAATTTTGATAATAAACATTAAATTAGAAAAGCTGTAAAATTAGAAAGTGTGAAATTTTCGGTGTAGTTGTGTCCACCGAGCTGTTTTTTTTCGTGTGATTATAATTGATATGATTATGAACAATAAATTTTGTTCGAAACGTCATCCAGTAAATAATACTGTTTCACTGTGTGACATATCAAATAAACTAATATGGAATTACTGTTTTTTTCCCAGTTTGAAATGAATGCACCTACGCTTCAGTAACTGATCCACTTTCTTCTTTCCAAACTCTGCGATTATTGATTCCCAGATTATCATAGATTCCTTATTAATTAAGTTTATTTGATATAATACAGTCATCTAGTTTCAATAAGTGATTGATTTCTCGTGTACAAGTGATTGCTCATAATCATACCAATTGATATACAAGGCTTCATAATTTGCTTTATATATTTTTCTCCTTCTTACTTGTTGTTTATGTATCTCCAGTACAGGCCTAATGTCATTTCAGTTCTGTGATTAGTGATTCGATGAACAAAGATTCCCTGATTAATCTTTCTCACCACCTAACTAGATCATCTTTTAAAACTTTCAGCCTGTCCCACTCCGTAGGGTGACTACATGCAAGTAAATGCAATTCAATAGCAATGAAAAATTCTGTCACAGTCGTTGAATACATCTAGCGCAGATAATTTAAATTTTTGTTATAACTAAAGAAAACGCTGCGATGCAAAAATGGAATTGATTCCTTTTCTGTCTGAGACACTTCGGACTCTGAGATAGTTGGTAGGGTTTCGTGTATCGAAACTTTTCTGTCTGAAGCTTTATGAACTGATATAACAATCCAAAACTTTCAATATATTAATCAATCTCCACAGATTTAAATATAAAGCTAGTGTCATACTATATTTGGTAATCTGCATAGTCATAATCAAGTAAAAGAATTTCCGATAAGTACTTTTTTCTACTATCAAACTAAGCGTAAAACGTGTTCATGTATTTATAAAACTTTCTTATCTTAACTACAATATAATCACAGTAGCCTGGAGGTATAAGTAAAGAACTTAGATTAGATTTGTAAGCGTAATAAAACACTAATAATACAATATCAATCTACTTCGAAATGCGTCTACATTGTTTCTTCTTATCGACTATCACTAGCCAAACAAATATACCTTAAAATAATTGTATCGACTGGAAGAAACCTTTAAGACATACTGACCTAATCTTCTGTAAAATCTCAAATCCGTAACCATGGAAAAGTACAGTCACATGAAAATCAGACTGTGAAATGCATTAGAATATAGGTTAAATCAATATAAAGCGTTTACTTATCAAGTTTTCATTTGAGAATCAATCCTGTGTAATCATGATTTTATAAGAGAGAATGGTATCTCCAATAGTATATACCTCATCTTGAAATTTTTACAATAATAATTTCATGGATGACAGAATGGGACGTTATAAGTAGTTTTGAGTAAGAGTTAATAAAGTATCCTAATCCTACACTTTATAGACTTGATATATTTGAAACCAAGGTTATCTCTGTACAAACTGAATCTAGAAATAAATTGACAAGTGACTGTTATCTGTTCACAGGAAATCTATATTCCATGTTATTTCACGGTAAGGAAATGCATGCGCTTATTATAATAGAAGAATTAAATGAAAGTATATAATAACGACGACAATAGCCTTTTTCAAGATAGTATTTATATAAGGTACAGGATTTTCAGCGGAAATTATCGCATAATATTTCCTCTTCGCTTAGGTATTCCCAGGGAAATAATGATTGACAGCAGGTCGCGTGAGACAGTGATATCCAACCTGAAGCGCATACCTTTCCATTATGCTTTTTATTCTCTGTCTCCGAGAAATGCATGACATTTGGTTGAAAGTCAATTAAGAGAAGTGACCCCCATAGATACAACTGAATAATTAAAGACTGCAGGTAGTTTCATTTTTCAGGCAGTGGTATTTTAAACTAAAAATCTTAGGAATAGTTACCTACTGCATTAGGATAGACTGACACCGACAACTATGATTTCTGTCAAGATTGGTGAAAACTTGTGAGTTAGCAGGCTGTAAACATTTTAAATACTCAAGAGAGTAAACAATACCATAAGAGATAATATTTTAGTAGATTAAAACATTGTGAACAAGAGGATTTATACGCAGTTTGATAATGGAGATTTTCCATAGCTAAAGTTTTAAGTAGGCCACAACGTATCATGATGGTTGTCAAAATCATAAATATCAAATTGAAAACAATGTGGACATAAGAGGTTAGGATTTAATTTTCTGCAGTTATTCCACTAAAATGCTTTCAGCGTTTTATTGAGTGATATGTGAATTATTGAAGTTTTACCTAAAGCAACTTAATTTTAATACCTCAAAAAGTTCACCAAGCACTGGTGAAAATAACTTGTTTTCATCTTTGTTTACTGTAATGCCCTCCTAAGAAGTTCGACCACTTTTCTTTGAAAGAGTTATCTCCTGAGGTTTTTCCTTCCAAAAGACGTGCAAAAGCAGTTGTCCACAATCCACTGGATTCCAGTGATAGCCATCACGGACCAAATAACATCATGTCAGTGTCAAGGCACCTTCGTAGTATCCTTACTTTGAGCGAGCATATGAACGGGGACCAAGCATTTCCATTCAACAGAAAATACCAGAATAATTTAAACAAATAATCAGCTTAGTACACTGGCATATATTTTTCATGAACTTTGATGGGCTGAGAAATCTCAGTGAGATTAATAGGTCAGATGAATACTACTTTTCAGTACTTCTTGCCTGGTTCAAATATATAATAAGAAGGAAGTTTCGTCAACTAATTTCAGTAGAAAGGCTGAGTGGTAAACAGCAAACGAAAATCTTCAGAAAAGTCCTGCATACATCCTTTTGGAATAATCTAATAAGTCTAAGATAAGGAAATTTACTTTTAGACTTCCGTTGTTGTAGATTTAGCAGCATACGACTTCATTCTGGTTGACAGAACGAGAATTTGTAAAAATAGGTGTGTGTATGTGGAGTGGAGTTATGTAAAATCGTATGAAAATGTAACACCTAGTTGGCTGATCGAAAGAAACAAACGTCTCAGTGATATAAATGCCAAACTACTTTATGATTTAATTGCTAAGATAATATATATGTTAACATTATATATATATGCTCAGTCAAATAATTCATGAATAGACACTTATAGTTAGTTACAATATAAAAAGTGTATTACCTGGAAACTGATTAGGCATTCCTATTATTAATCCATTCTTATTCAAGTTCATCCCTGTCAGAACGTCCAACTGTTAAATCAGGTTTTTCCATGGAATATTTCTCAACACACTGACTAGAATATTAGTACCTCTTCCAGAGAAGACTCAAGTTATGCAATTATGCAGTTATGCAACCTTGGCGGCCTGCTTAAATCTTGGGCTACCAAATACCTTAATCATTACAAATCATATTGCATCTAATTGCTCACTTCCAATTTTATTTTAAATAATTAAATTTTATTTTAATATGTCCTCAAATCGGATTATTTATCCTCGTGAGTATTTAATATCCTTAAAACCTACTGATCGGAAATGCCACAAAAAAGACAAAAAAAAGCATCACGCCGGGTGGCAAAGAGCCTTAAAAAACACCCCTATTCAATTTATGACCGTTCCTGCAATCATGAGTACTAACTGTCGCTCCCTGCCAGCCAAGATTAACTATCTTCAATCACTTGTGTCTTCCATTATATATCGAAATACTGGGATCATATCACTTCAAGAAACATGGCTACACGATCTGTACGATGACAATCTAGTGTATCTAAATGATTTCAAACTATTCAGACAAGATCGATGCAGTTCTAGGAAGAAACGTGGTGGAGGTGTCGCCATCTTCATAAATTCACAATGGTGTACATCTAATAAAGTATGTTTCAAATTCTCTAGTGACAACATTGACTGCCTCACCGTCAAATGTCGACCTAAGCATTTGTCAAAATATAACTACATATACATCTCGAACATTTATATTGCACCTGGATGCAATTCCACTGAATTGTCTTTATTTGCTGATGAATTTACCTCCTTTGCTGCCACCTCCTTCGGAAACTCGTTGTCTATTGTTACTGGAGATTTCAATTCTAGTGATCACAATTTCCTTATTTCACTTGGTCATGATAACATTGTCAACTTCCCGACTCGAATGGATAATATTCTAGATCTTGTGTTCACAAATGACATAGGAATATTTGAAGCTCGGAAAAGAGCCCCACTACTTAACTCTGATCACTGCATCATAAGAGTATTGCCCAAGGTATATGGAAAGCTGCACAAAAGGGTCTTCTCCCACCTTGGAAAGAAAACACAACACAGATGCTATTCACATGATAACATACAGAATCTAAGGACAATGTTAAAAGATACAAACTGGGACCTGTTTACTGAACAAGCTCTTGACAACACAATTAGTAACATAACACATTATCTCAATTTCTGTCTTGATGTTTGTTGTCCTAAAGAGACAATCTTCTTAAAGTTCGACCGTTTCGCCTCATCTCAACTCAAAAAGCTTCGCCGTCAAAAAGAGAGGTTATACAAAATGAAAAATAAATCTGGTGTTAAGAGAATAAACACTTTGATTAAAGCCGAATTACAAAGATTAAATGCTCTCTATAACCAGAAGTTTCTTTCATGTAAATCCTCATCTAATATGTGGAAGCTTTTAAAGGAAATCACAGGTGGTAAGCAAATAATGAATGATACTTCTGTCGATGTTGATATGCTAAATAAATCCTTCATATGTATCCCTGCAGATGTTATGATTCCCAAATCTAACAGTATAAATAATGACTGCTTTTCATGTTTTAACACGAATGATGTCCTCAAGTGTCTTCAATCTCTCAAACCTACCCAGTCCCTTGGTCCTGATGGAGTTCCTGCTGTTATCCTTAAGAAGTGTGCTGACATCTTATGTTACCCATTAACTGACATTTTCAATGAATCTTTTTCCAAAAGTTTTATTCCTGACTCATGGAAAAATATCAAGGTTGTTCCAGTGCCCAAATCAACAAGTGGACCTACTGTCAAGTTTAGACCCATTGCTATTACCTCACCTTTTTTAAAAGTTATGGAAAGACTTATTTTACTTAATCTTGAACCCTCTTTAAAGCCTTTTAATGACCCCAACCAGTTTGCCTATAAACATAGTAGGTGTACCCTAGATGCCGCTGTAGTTCTATATCATAATATAGTCTCTAGTTTAGATAGAGGAGCCAAATATGTTCGGTGTGCCTTCCTTGATTACACATCTGCATTTGACTCTGTACCTAGGTCTCTCTTGTTAAGTAAGCTTGCTGCAACACAGAGTGAGAGCTGGATAAATAAGTGGTTGTATTCCTACTTTTCTGATAGGAAGCAGTACACTGTCTACAATGGAAAGTCCTCCTCTATCTCACTTACTTTAGCTGGTGTTCCTCAAGGTGCCGTTCTTTCTCCTTTTCTGTTTTCTTTTTTCTTACATGACTTGCCCCATTCTGATGTAGCCACTTTTGTCAAGTATGCTGATGACCTCTCTGTCTCCATGCCTGTCAACTCTCAGTCAGACTGTTCCATATTAAATAACTTTCTCTCGGAAATTAGTCAGTGGTCCTCTTCAAACGGTCTTAAGCTGAATCCGTCTAAATGTCAGGTAGTAAATTTTACTTTCAGACGAAAAAGTGACCTTCAACAACTAGCTAGCTCACATGGTCCCACTATCATAGACGGCATAGAGGTTGAAACTACATCAGATGTCAAGTACCTTGGACTGAGTATTTCCTCCGATCTTTCCTGGTCCTCTCACATCTTGCTAGTGACTAGAAAGATGTTTCGCTTAACGTTCTACCTTAGGAAGTTTAGGCAGTCTGGTATAAAGCAGTCTTTACTTTCTCAGTTTGTCAATTCCTGTATTCTACCCATCCCTCTTTACTGCTCCCCATTAATCTTTCCAGGACTACTTAAGAAAGACTTTGCTTCGCTGCGTAGGGCACTAAAAGCTGTTAGTAGGGCAAGTGGGATATCGTTAAACCAACTGGTTAACACCATAGTGGATAGACATATAATGTCATGTAAGAAACTAGCGAATACTATATTGTCAGACCCTGAGCATCCTCTCTATACACAGCTCTCTCCTTGCATATCATCTGGCAGAACTAGAAGTAACTATAGGAAGCTATATGCCAGGACTACCAAGTATAAAAACTCCACAATACCTTATCTGGCACAGCTGTTATGTGATGAGAAAACTGTTAGGCATGACATGATCAATTTACTGCGGCACTCTAACAAATAGTTCCCATTAGCTTTTGTTCTCCTTTCTTTGTTACTATTATATTGCTGCTCATATATTCTATTACAGACTAATTTTATATATCGTATCCTGTGGTGCACTGTTTAAATATGTGAATGTAATGCTGTTCTTTCTTATTTTATTTCTTTTATTTCTCTTTTTCTTTTTGTTGTTGTTGCTTTATATTTCTAAATCCTTATAAAATTTATGAGGTAATTAGATGCAATATTGTAATGAACGCTGAAAATTCCATACCTGTACCACAAATACTGTTTGGAATAAAGCCATTATTATTATTATTATTATTATTATTAGCTACCGTTGCGATTGTTTTCGACTTAAAGAGGTTCTGGGTGAGTTTTCGCCTTGATTTATGAAAACTGACAGTGATAAGTATTCTTTTATTCTAATGCAGGTCTGCCGGTGTTACGGTTTGAAAATAACTACTGACATTATTAGGTTTTTGCATAATATTTGTCACCATTCTGTTCCTTTAGTTACACGTTGGGGGTTAGCAAGTTATTGTATCACCATCCGAAATTTCAAAGAAAACCGTGTAATGAGACTGATTTTCTACCGATATGAAAAGTTGGTTAACCACAAGTGGACGAAAAGATTACCTGCTGCACTAAATACAAAATGAGTAAGTACAGCATACACACATGGGAATATCAGTTAAGAAAAATGTAAAGTTACTATTGATGAACTTGTTGATATCGCTAATTTAACCCATGACACTATTAAATGTCCCATCATATCAAGAATAAAGAAACATTACTAAAGAGTGATTCTGAGAAAACTACTTTCAATGTCTCTAATGAACTGTTACATTTCCCGAATTTCAGCATAATCAACTCGATTGGTTTTGATTTGGTTGTGTTGTCCGGACTGGTTGATTTGACTAAGGAGCTTTCCTTATGCCTCTTGACAATGTTATCTACATGGACCCGTCTGCATAGATAAAATTACTCCTCATTATCTTGTTCTCTTCAGGTTACTTCACATTTGAATGCGTTATTGTTTTGTGTACAAATACAGTTTGTGGTTCTACCTTAGGGCTGTACATGTGCTAACAACAATTTACTGACTTGTAATAATTAAAAACCGATTTTGAGTTAACAAACATTTTTTTTGCCTAAAGACATTTTAAAGTTTTCCTGATCAATGTTTTAAAACATATTAAACTGGATAATTGATGGAATAAAGTTATAATATTTAACATGAGAATTCAGGACTCATTAGTAATAGTGAATTGTCAATAGTTTCTTTTTAATCTTGCTTAAAGTTTCACCACACAGATCAAACAGACGTTACATTTCTAATAAAGATATTATAATTTCAACTTACGGGTAGTTGAAATCCCGAAACAAGACCGTTACATTTATTATATCAGAGATCAACGTGTGTTCACAAAGTCAGAGCAATATTACGTCCTCACACAAGCAAATGTAGAAGGTGTTTTAATCGCTCTACTGCAAGTGCATCCAACGGTCTGATAAAATTCTTTACATGCATTACTATGAAGTCATTTTAAGTTTCTGTGATCTTAAATCCTTAATCGAGGTTATTTTATAGAAATTTCAAACTCCTATGAATGTCACTTATGGGTACCATAAAATTATCACAGATATCTCAGTATCTGCAAAGGCCCTTTTTTCTATTCTGCGTCTCATAATTTATCAGGGATACAGTGTCGTCATGCGTATATGAGACAGATTCCTCATCTTATGTCTTTGCCCACTAATATAAGTATCATTTCGCATATCAAATGACTCAAACATTAAAGCCCACAAGCCCAAATGATGTAGTCACTGAAAGTCACAAATCAACATTGACACTTCTGACTGACTTCCATAAGTATCTAACTTTTATGTGTTATCTTCCGCTAAATAAGCTTGTCTGCCTTCCAGTCTTTTAATTCAACAATATATACAGAGTATGAAGTAAACTTTGACATATCCATATTTTTCTTTCCCTTAATCATCTTTTTTATCACTATGTGCTCAACACGATTTTGAAAACTCACAAATAAAATTATCCTACCGATCTCAACATTTTTGTGAAAGTTCAAATCACGCATCCCAAACGACACGACAGGAACAATATGTGGTGAATGTATACTGATATCGTAGATGATGATTATGTAACAATAAAAATGACTGTGAAACTCCGGGTGAAAATGAAAACTGTTGATTTCCTTCCAGAAATTCTCTATTCGACCTCTAACACTTGACTACCAAAGTAGGTGATTTTTAAGAGATTCATTTGATTTAGAAGCTATGTTTACACTCAGTAGATAAAGTCGATACCAGATGGTGAAACATTTCAGTGTCTCTCTGCTAACTATTCAAACTTTCGTTACGTTTTAAATCAAAAAGTCAAAAATTTCAAACTACCTGCTCAATTGTTGTGCTGGCTGATTCACTTATTTCGTCTTAGTATCTGCAGACAGCTAAATACAAACAGGTGAACTGAATTCAAACATCAACGCATATGCCTGTTCGGAATACAAAATTGTCAAAAATGTAGCCTAACTCATCTACATGTTAGTTTGTTTACTTACAAATGCTATTTTATCTTTTGCATGTATTTTTCAATCATCAATGTATTTATTTTGTTGTCTTAAGACAAAAAGAGAGAAATAAAGAATGAGGTTATTATAAGTTTTATTTGTCACAAAACTATTTCTTCGTGGAATAAAGTTTCAGTTTTCAAAATATGTCGAGTATATAA